CTGTCTCCTGTCTGTCTCTGTCCACAGACTGTTGCGTTCACTGTCTCCTGTCTGTCTGTTCTGTGAGATGCTGTCCATGTGTTCGGCGGTGGGGGAGTGTCTGGTGTGCGGAGTGGGCGGAGCCGGGTGCTGCGACGCAGCGGTGGGCTGCTGCTGTGTGGAGGCGGCGGGGGAGGCGGCCTGTACGGAGGAGGCGTGTCAGGCAGTGTTGGATTGTGGGATACTGGAGGACTGCTGCGGCTCGTCCGACTGTTTGGAGATCTGTTTGGAGTGCTGCTCCATCTGCTTCCCCACGTAAAGCAGCCAATCAGAGACGGACTACAAGATGATGTCAGAGGAAGAACGTTTGACCTGATTGGTCCTGGACAGTTATTCTCCACTTAAATCAAATCTCTCTTTTTGTTTCGTCTTTCAGTTTTATTGAATGAAATGACTGAATTAACAAATGAAACAAAGATGAAGGAACATCCTCTCTGACTCTGTGTGTGACTCCATGTTTGTACTGTTACAGTAACTGATGATTATTCATTCTCATCGCTTTTCAAAAGGATTAAGTGGCAAATAAATAAATAAATAAATAAATGAGCAGACAGAAACCTCAGACTCTTCCACACTGAAACTGTGATTGACAGCTCGGGAGTGGGCGGGGCCGGGCGGCACAGGAAGTGGGTTCTGCTGGGACAGGAAGTGTTTCTTTGTTGAAGCGACATGGCAGGACGACCAAACAGGAAACAGGAAATCACTGTAATGACAACGCCACCTGACCTCTGACCCCTGGGACGCCTGACATCAAAGACAGAGAGACACACACACAGACACACACACTCACACACACACACGCCCCCTGGTGGCTGTTACTTATTTATTAATTTATTGTCATTATCAATGTTCATATAACTGTATTAACTAGCAGTTCATTGTTAATGTGAGGTTTGTTTTATGATATAAATAATAAAAGGTATTATTAGAGACATGTGGAGTGCAGCTGCTTTAGCTCAAAAGATCAAAGAACAAATGTTTTTATTAAATGACTTTATTTCTATATAAAAGTTTGAATCTGAAACAAAGAATCTACAGAAACAAACATGATCATATTCAGACTACATAAACTATAAACTGGATGTTGGTAAACATAAATGTCATGAATCAAAACAACAACAATAAAAGACAAACAGAAATCCCTTTTTTATATCTGGTCCTGATGACTGACAGCTGAGCCAGCAGCATGTAGGATCCACAGTTCGGCTGCTGTTGCCATAGTTACTGCTGGTACATCACACCGCTGACATCATCTCATGTCACAATCACATCTGTGAGGTCACATCTGTGAGGTCACATCTGTGAGGTAAAATGTTTTCATAATATTTTCTTTTTTATAGCTTGTTTTGCAGCTAATTGTGTTCAACATATTTTAAAACTTAATTAAAATGAATTATGAAACAGTAAAAACTGATTTTGTCTCTGAAATCAGAATAAAAAAAAATCAGCAGGACGTGAACGAGTCCTTAATAAGAGCAGACGATGATGATGATGATGATGATTAGTTTCCCTTCAGTTTCCTCTGAATATACGCAGACATCAGTAATAAAAGATCAATAATGAAGCTGATCAGACCTCCTCTGCTCCTTTTAACTGAAACATCTGCTCAGTTTTTCCAGCACACACGATTATAGATTATAGATTATAGATTTATGTTTATGTACATTATTTATTTACATTTAAAAAACTTTCATGAAAATATTTGTTTTTCTCTGTTATCAGAAACTGTGGATTTATCGTGGCATCCTCATTCAGTCTGATCAATATGATTTACCAATATCAAGTTCACCTGTTGTGACACACTGATGGGGGCGTGGCCACGAGCTGCAGGTGAGTATAAACACAGAGACAGTGAAAAGTGACTGATTTAAAGGCCCGCCTCTTGTTTGATTTGATAGTCTGTCTGGATCAGAACATAGATTCTCTGCTGAACCTGACTGGACCCGACACGACTCGCCAGGTTCGGGCCCAAGACTGCTGCTATAGGTTGGGTTCGGTCCGTTTTTGTTTTAAATAAATATTTCAATATTTTATTAATAGTGCATTCAACTGTAATTAAGGAATTAGTCATTTATGCTTCGGGACCTCACCTGCAGCTCAGACCAGTACCAACAGCCAATCAGCTGTGAGTTTGTTCTTTGTGTTCAGTCTGTCCTTTCTGGGCCGAACTCTTCTGTCGTCGCACTGTAGGATGCGGCTGTCATAGGAACGTCACGGTTACGCTGCGGGAGCAAGCAGTTGCCCTGGTTACAGGCAAGGACTCTACAGTTACCACGGTTACGTTGTAGAGGACACAGTGGTTACCGTGGTTACACTGGAGGACACAGTTGTTTCCTGTGACATCACGTTTGTGCGTTGTTTGTTTTGATGATGTCATTCAATAAAAAAAGTTCAGTTAAAAAAAAAAAAGCTCCGGCCAATCAGATCCCTGCGTGCGCGATGTCATCAGTGGTCCTCATCCATGCATGCTGAGCTGCTCCGCCTGCTGCTGGTCTTCGAGGCTCCACAGGACAGCAGGGGGTCGGACATCGCCCCGCCTCCCGCCTCCTCCATCAGGATGTCCCCCAGCTCCGTCAGACCCACATCGGACAGCAGGTCCGGGGAGAAGACGGCGGACGCCCCCCGAGGCTCATCCAGGTCCACGAAGCTCAGGGCATCCAGACCCAGGGAGGGGGTCACCAGGGAGGAGGAGGAGGAGGGGGAGGAGAAGGGGTGAGGCAGGGGGGGGGAGAGTAGGGTCTGGGGGTCCAGAGAGGAGGAGGAGGAGGTGGGGAGAGGTGAGGAGGAAGAGGAGGAGGAGGTGAAGGCATGGAGGCGAGCCTGAAGCTCCAACTCCTACAGACAGACAGGAAGTGACAACGTATCAATCAGCGTCTATTGATCTGACAGCGTTTTATTATTATGATATTTTATTACATTACGACATCTTCGATCTGCTTCGAATCAATAAAACACAGAATTTAAGATAAAAGCAGAAACAGGTCAAGACTTTAACTCTGCATATTTATACTGTTATTATTCAAAGCGTTTAATGTGTCATTGTTTTATTTCTCTGACTTCACACAGGTTTGTGGGGACATTCTGAAATGTGGGGACATTGTGTGACATAAAAATGTAATTCTGAAAATACTTCCTGCAGTTTAATCAAAAATTTATAATTTAAGTCTGACAAAACAACAAATGCCAACTTAAGGGTCACTTACTAGTTTTTTCCTGAAACTTTCAATGGTATCAAACAGGTGAAAACTTACAGTGGTTTAGAGACTACAACCTGGAGACTAGTGTTTGATTTTATATTCCCAACATGTAACATGAAGGTAAATATGATCAGTTATTTGTTCTAATGAGGTCCAGTTATGTTGCAGTTAAGAACATGCTCACCAGAGGGCAGCATCAGCTCTCTTCTACAGCATCTGTACTGCAGTTAGTATCACTGTCAGTATTACCAGTTAGTCATGATGGAAGTTATTGATGTCATTTATAAGTTTAAAGTTTGTTTGTTAGATAATTCGTATTTTTCTTTCTATATGTGGAAGATTCTGAATATCCAACAGTAACGATTCATTAGTGGATCCATAACTCAGGTTTCCTCATTAAAGCGCCCAGGAGTGAATACTGCTGAACAAGGACCAATCAGAGTGGAGCTTACAGAGTTGAATGTTGCTGATTGGTCAACAGACATAAAAGACAAATAGACATAAAGATGAAAGCAGCCCTGTGTTAAGCCCCGCTCCCTCTTGGGTGAATGCAGAAGTAGAAAACAGGAGGGTTTATCTCCACTGTTACTCCTTCTGCCTGTATAACGGTTCCATTATAGAAGGTTCGGTCCAGTCTCCCCATGCAGTTTATGTGGAATTACCCTTAAGCGTTCAAGCACCATTCCCCTCTGCCTCCAACACCTGTCACCACCCAAACTCCATTTCAACAACAACCGGCCTTGTCTTTAAAAGGAAAGCTACAAAGACAAGCCTTTTCTATTTCCACGCATCAGCTGAGAAACTCTGCATTCTGCTTCAATCTAACAGAACACCAATACTGCTCCACACTCGACTCAGTAACATCAATCTAACCCTAAACCCCTGCTGAGCGAAAGAGTCCTGACACAGACAACACTCAAACACTGACCCTGTCTGTCAATTAACTAACCTGTGCAGCAACAGAGTTCTGGACACCAGCACCCACACTCCACCTGAACTGTCCTGTCCATCTAACTCTAACCTGT